GTCGGGACTGAATTTCAATTATCAATCTTTCGGTGTCGAAATTATCCACGTTTGGAAGAAACAGAAATACACACAAGCACATTCACGCACGGACGTCAATGGACTGGCCAGACTGTCATGTGATGTTGATTTGGCCTTGGCAGCGATGCCAGTAGCATTTGAACTTGGCATCTTGGTTGGCAGCGATGCCAAGTTGGAAGCGCTGCCAGACGGATGCCAGGTGCGATATACGTATGACTACTAAATTAATGCATTGAGTTTGGCCGAGATGCTGGCAGCTGCGCCATGGCCTCCCGTTGGCATCCTAGTGCGATACCGCCCTTAGGGAGTTATTAAACTACGCGAAGAAAGTAATTCCAACATAACCCTCGTCGTCGGACATTAATATGACTGAAAACTGAATTACGTTTAGTACAAGTAATTACTACTTCGGTCGCATACCAGCGCCAAGTCAGAATACACGACCACGGTTAGGGGCTGGAACTGGCTGCCATCTAGCAGAGAGACGAATGACTAGCATTATTAAACTGAACGTTTCCATGTGGTTGGGTAATTCAGAAACGGATTGCTTCCTTCCTCAGAGGAAACGTCTGGGAAGCATATTTTTACATCCAGAGTTTTTGTGTAAAAGTTTTCTAAATGTGGCGGACCCCTACATGTCCTAAAATAGCGATACTCATCCTCGGGTGTTATTTTCCTGTATAAACAAACACGAATATTTTTCTCACGCACGGAGAACCTTGACTTAGTACGGCTGTACTCGTAAAGTGGCCATTACACGACACTTCTTACATGGCAAAGAACCGGTAAACTTCTGTAAATATCGAGAAATCCAACCAAAAGTCTTTAATGCCACGCTAAATGTTTCTGTACCTACCGACGTTGCATCAACATCCACAACACAAACGCGCATGCGCGTCACTGAATGACAAAATACCACAACATTCTGAATTCCCTAAAGGTGCGATTTAAAAACAATACAAAGACAACGAATTTTCAGCTGGAAACTGATTCGACTAATTAATCCTTGGTTTCTTCAAAGGCAGTTTTAAGATGCCAAAAATATTTAATGCCTGTCATCTAACTATCTTACCTAGCCCTTCTTTCTGACATTACGTCCTGTGGATTACATGAAGCGGAACAGAATATGGTTTTATTATAATATTACCCTTCAAATTCTAGCTGGTGTAATCACACATAAACTGTAATAAATAAAATCTTCTCGGGCAATCAGCCACGTCAACTGGTTACCATAGTAGACCAACGTTTCGGGAACCAACTCTGTCCCAAACATCAGGGGAACTATAATACTTTATAGAATTTTATAAATCATGTCTATTCTCAAGCATAGAATAAAATAAGAAACAACTGCAGAATTTTTCACTATCATCGCAATCTTCGTCTAGTCATAAGATATCAACAGATATACAGGAGAAGACTAAAACATTCAATAAATCCATCATAAATTCATTTCAAAATAATGTTGTTATTTCAACACAACATTCACATCTGTTTTTCTTACTTTGCGTTATTAGTCGCATTAGTGGTTAAAAGAATAATACAGTTACGACATCACCGCGTGAGGTGTCCGAGCATGCAATTTAGCTTTTAACTAGTTGACCGATCTCCACAAAATATGACATAAATGTTATGTCACTGGAGGTCACACAACCTCATGCTTTAAATATTTCTTGCGATCACTAACGACGACACAGAAAACAAACTCGCAAACTTGTGAGGTAAAAGTTGCACTAATATTGCTAAATAAATGACATGCATTAACGTCATTCCGATTTGAGAAGGACTCAATTTAATTAATTCCGCCTGTAAACAAACCACACTGACTCTCATCTACCATAAAGATGCAAGCAGTATGTTCCTCGAAACCGGTCTATAAGGTGTCAGAAAACAACATTCCAAACTTACTAAAAGTCTCTCGAGTGTTAAAGTCAAAAAAGATTAAAGTCTGAAACATAAAACTCTTGTGTGTGAAATACTTGACGTCTCATTATGAAGAATGAACAAAGAGTAAGAGAATTTTTTAAAGAAATGCTGAATAAATAAAATGGGAAAATTAAACAATAAAGATCTTCATAATGTGTGATGCCCACCCAGACTCCTATCCAATCGGTACTGTGGTCCTTCCCCAGGGGTAAAGCGCGGCCAGGGCGTGATGCTGACCACTCATCCCCATCTAGTGCCGAGGTTAAGGAAGAGAGGAGCTATACGTCCTCTCCCCCCAAGTGCCTACATGGAGTGTAGTGGAACAGCTTCACTTTACTTTACCTCACTTATCAGCTCAAGAAGCCGCAATGAGACAAAAAATTCATACAATTTAAAAAGTAACGTAGATGGCTGTCTTCTGAGTTGTAGCGCCGTCTCATCTGGTAGAAGATTACCGACATTTCAGAGGTCCTTGCTGTCTTCATCATCAGGTCAGTAAACTAGTACCAGACTAGAAAATGTTACAACTCAGAAGACAGACATCTCATTGCCACGTGAACCTAAAATCCTACATGGACTGACATTCTGCAAGATACGATCCTTGAGAAATTCTTTTAGTGACCTTAAAATCTGTTATTTTTAACAATGAATCATCAAATCATTTCACAGGGAAAAAACTGTATATTTCAGTGACATTTTCTAAGAAATCATTATCTATGTCCGCACTAACATTTTCACAGAATAATTACCACACACAATTCAAAATATTTTATTGAGAAGAGAAGTTCCAACTTTAAAATCTTACCTAAAACTTCATTCTGTGAATCACTCCCAATAAAAATAGAAATAGGTCAGGATTTGAGGTTTTCACATCAGCGACAGCTTACACTGTGGTATAAGAAAATATGCAGTCTAGGTTCAATCTTAAAAATGGATGCCATAGGTCCATCAAGAATCTTGGTATACAATCAATGACCAATGAATGTAATAACCCAAAATACAATATAAAATCTAGTTACGAACACAGATATTTTTAAAAGATCAAACTAATTTGGGACAGGAATCATATTCACATCCAGATTGGCGTGCAGTAAAACTCATAACGGCCCTCAAATTAAGCTCCAGTATAATGCCTACTAACCTCAGACAGCCTATAGAATGTCAAACTGGACTAATGGTCAACTTCACAACAATTCATGAGATATTATTCACACCTGTACATCTATTTCTACACTTACAATATTTTCAAAAATAGTATTGCAACTGTAGTCCAGTACCAAATCTCATTTCAGACTCACAAAAGAACTGTTTTTATTAATTGTTATAAATTTTTAAGTATTAATACATATTCTGTTCCAAATGAATTCAAAACAGTTCATTCACAAACGTAGTGGCTTTTATTCCTTCACAACCACCCAGTAAAATGAGATTTGGTACTCCCATAACTCGTTTGCATGAAATAGTTTTGTAACAGCATTACAAACCAAACATATTCCTGAAGTCAATTTCTGCTATTCAATATGATTACGATAAACAACGGCGAAAAGACACTACACATTACATTATATAAATACATTATTCACTCTGTACTATAAGAGACTTGCTGGCCCCTCCTTAATAACGCTGCTACTTCACTGACATGAAGGAGACCTTAAATTTCCCATTTATAAAACACGTCTTCTCTGCCAGACCTTACTCTTTTGAACAAAACATTCAATAACTAGATGCAAAAGATGTAATACAAACGATTTCTAAAAGGGGATTAACTATTGAGAAAACATACTCACCCACACACTTGATACCAGCACGAACCTAACCGAAATGCCAATAACACAATTGCAAAAAAAACCAAGATAGATCACTATATATTCTAATTCTGTTAAAATGTTTGATTCAAAAACCGCTTTTTATAACACCAAATCGGCACATAAGACCACAATAAACACCCAACGCGCCATTCCTATTCCGCCCCAACTGCACAACAAACCAAAGCACCTAATAGCACAGACATGTTACATTACATTCTGAAACTAAAATAAAATATCAAATTAATATTCTGTCATTAATGAAAACATAGTAATCTTAAACAATTAATAAGAATTATGGTTAGGGTCTCTAATATTTAAACCATACTCTAAAGGATTTCTTTTTTCATGACATGTTATATATTAGTAATAAAGTTTTTTACATGCAAAAGGAAATAATTAGAATAATGGCTGGTGTCAAAAGCAGGGTATCTTGTAGAAAATTATTTCGTAAATTTAATATACTTCCACTTGCAAGTGAATTTATACTCTGCTTGCTATCATTTGTGGTGGAAAACATAGATAAATTTAAAAGAAATACAGACGTACATAATTTAAATACAAGACGTAAACATAATCTATATGTGCCAAATGCTAACTTTACTAAATATCAGAAAGGAGTGTACTATACAGGTATCAAGTTGTTTAATAATCTTCCACCAACAATTAAAAGTCTAAATTATGATATAAAGGTATTCAAGCCTGCATTGAAAGATTACCTCTTTACTCACTCCTTCTATTCTGTAGATGATTTCATCTCTGCTGAAAATGTTTAAGCTTTATATCCATAATCTACGTATATGTAAAGCAAGTTTTGTATTTATATTTAAAATTCTGAGGTTTATGTATATTAATTTGTAAAATTATTTTTCATACTTGTATTGCAGAATCTGAAATTTATGTACATTGACATGTGAAATACAATCTTGTACTTGTGTTGAAAGTTCTGAAGTGTATGTATATATTGTATGAAATGACATTTTCTACATCCTTTGGTTGAGTCCTAAGAAGGATCTATGGAATGTAAATAAACTCTACTCTACTCTACTCTATCTTAGTAACATATCTGCATTTTATGATCTTTGAAGGACTCCTAGCGGTAAATACTGGAATTATAAATAAACAAATGAGTAATGGATCGTTGAAAGTATGAATGAATGGAATTAATAAGACGTCAAAACAAAAATATTTCATTCATTATGTGTTAACGAATATTGCCCGCTGAAAGAAATTCTGCAAAATAATATGCACATACCGTACATGTGAAAGAATGTTGTGACCGTGTATCTTGTTTTGTGTTTATGTGAAAATTTAATAAAGAACAAATGGCCAGCTCTGTGTTAAATTTAAATGTTGGTATCTTAGGACATGTTGATTGCGGTAAAACAACACTGGCAAAGGCTCTAAGTACTACCGCTAGTACAGCAAGTTTCGATAAAAATCCTCAGTCTCAAGAAAGAGGGATCACGATTGATCTAGGCTTTAGTTCACTTTTAGTTGACATCCCAGAACATTTGAAGAACTCATGTTTGGAAGAACAACTGCAGCTAACATTAGTGGATTGTCCTGGCCATGCATCATTAATTCGCACTATAATTGGAGGTAGATTAAGAGATATAGATGCATTTCATCCTTAGACCACCTTTTTTTAACCATCTAGTACTCATGGGTACAGCATCACAAATGTCATTTGCTGTCAGGATTCAGAACAATCTTCTGTACTTTTATCATATAACCTTCATGGTAAATTAGTAGGGAATGAAGTACATTAAATCCCCATAACACATGGCTGATGACCAGACTTTAGTTTTGGTGTTAACAGGTTAGCATTACGCTAGTGCAATGCACATCCAGTTGAAATGAACATGGACTGAATACAGAAATGTTTATAACTTTTCAGGGGCACAGATTATTGATTTGATGTTGCTTGTAATTGACATCACTAAAGGAATGCAAACACAAACCGCAGAGTGCCTTGTTGTTGGTGAAGTGACCTGCCAGAAGATGATTGTGGTACTAAACAAAACAGATCTGCTGCCTGAAGGACAGAAACAAGCGCTGATTGATAAGGTTGCTGATCACTGCATACATAAATAAATAAGATTAAGAGGATAATGCAAGATACTTCATAGTGAATATCAGAGTTTTAGTATGAAACCTCTTCGTGTCAACACTTCATAATGAGGATGGGATAGTAATGAGTTGGCGTAGCTCAGTCAGTATAATGGCTGGCTACGGACTGGACGGCCAGTGTTCAGCAAACACAGAACAGGGACACATGGTGTGCTTTTTGTATTGATTGTTCTGTTATAACAGGGAATTAATCAGCTGATTGGCTGTCAATTTTCATGGAATACCATACCATGATGTTGGATGACACAAGGTGAAACATTCTGATAATGGAACCAGAATGTTAAAAATGCAACACAAAAGCCTCCCATTGGGCCTTCTTTCCTGAGGCACAAAGTACAGGTCACAGGCTTGCGACCAGGTTTATTAAAATATGTGTTAATTTTTACAAGTATCTTTCCCACTTTAATATGAATAATTTCCAATGGGATTCTCCCTTTTACATTTACGTCACATTTCCACCATGTTCATTGTTCACTGATTTAACTTCCTGAGTCTCGGATGAAAGAGAGATTTAATGTTTCAATTATAACGTCAAACATGCTGATTACAAATGCAATGGTAAAAGAAAGCCATTTTCTATGCTAGTTGTTTTGTATGTTGTAAACAATTTGACAGACTGACAATCAGTTATCCAAATCAGTTATGACCTCTTGTAATTAGTATACACAAATTAAATTTAATTGGCATATGAAAACAGATATACGTACTGAAAGTTACTGGTGTCAGGGTCAAGGGATCTGAGTCCAAAAAACAATGGAGATATGTTTTCTGCGTTTTGACCTGTATTTCATATTATCTGTAGCAAAACTAGCATTGCATTATTTTTTGAAGAAATAAATAAAAGTGATTTTAAGTACATCTTTACCCCCCCCCCTCCCCCTGAACTTTATCCTGGCACTGGTGAATTATTCATTTCATTGCAGATGACAAGGAAAATGAAGTTGACATTACAAAATTCAGTTTTCAAGGATTCCCCTGTTGTGAGCGTCTCGGCAAAACCTGGGGGCTCAGAAGCTGTTTCGGCCTCCCCGCCTGTAGGTATGCAGTTTCATCGCAGATACTTTTTAGACAGGGGAAAGTTTGAGGAAATTTTTTTACAATTTTTAGGCCCTTGGTTGGATCTTACAACCATTCTTGTGATTTCTTCTGCATATATTTCTTCCACATTTAAACTAATTTTGGGCAAAGATGTGTATTCTGTAAGATATAAGACCTGAAAATGTACAGACCAGTCTCCATTTGCCTATTTGTATTGGTTTATGATTCACTTTTTGTTACAGGGCTCCAAGATCTCATAGAGACATTACAGAAGTTTGCATTTATACCAAAACGTTACGTCTCGAGTCCATTTCTTTTTGCTGTTGATCACTGTTTCAGTGTGCGTGGTCAAGGCACTGTCATGACAGGCACTGTATTGCAAGGAACGGTAAACATAAATGATGTATGTGCAATCTGATAACCGCCACTGTTATCATTAGAACCTGTCATTGACACTTAAGTTATCTTAATGTTCTTATACCTCCTTTTAAGATTCACTTCGATATACAAATCACAATTCCGTGACTTATCGACATATATTTTTTGATTTACAATTTTTCGTGTAGAGGAACATCCGAATGTTCTTTTTCATGTTGATTCTTGTGATAAATTTAAAATGTTGATACCATGATCACTGTTTCATTGGTTCAGAATATCTTACGTACACATAACTGTATTTTTCATTAATCATGGTTCATCTATTGGCAAAATAAAATTAATAAATTCAGCTATATGATGTCTGGAACCATATTTCTTGGTTCAAACCTGGTAATAAAGGGAGAAAACTAAAGTTGATATAATTTAATTTTCAGACAGTCGAAATACCATCCATCCATGTAACTAGGAAAGTGAAGTCAATGCAGATGTTCAGGAAACCAGTAGAATGTTCAGTACAAGGTGATCGAATTGGCCTCTGCGTCACTCAGTTTGACCCCAGACAGCTGGAGCGAGGGATAGCTTGTATGCCTGGATATGTTCCAGCCATTTCATTGGCCATCGTTTCAGTTCAGAAAATAAAGTATTTCAAGGGAAATGTTAACACAAAGGCAAAGTTTCATATTAGCATAGGGCATGAAACAGTAATGGCAAAGTTATCATTTTTTGGTTTGTTGCAAGATTTTAGCAACACATCTGAAGACAATGCTTTTGATTTTAATAAAGAATACAAGTTTCAAAATGAACTTTTGCCTGACCCAACGAATGACGACGAAGGCGCAAGAGCACACGAGATGCCAGTAAAGCAGTTTGCTATGCTAGAATTTGAAAAACCTACACTGGTAGTCCCTAAATGTCTTGTAATAGGATCAAAGCTAGACTCCGACATTCACGCCAAGACCTGCAGACTAGCGTTCTGGGGACATCTTTTAGAAAGCGTTGAAGATAAGAATTACTCAACAACTGTGTTACCAAAACTGAAGATTTATAAGGAAAAATGCAAATGTGGAGTGGTCGACAGAGCATGTAATCAGTATCAAGTTATTGGGAAGAGCATGTTTAAAAAAGAAACCAACATCCAGTTGTTTGTAGGCTTACAAGTGGAACTGTCTACGGGAGAAACGGGCGTTATCGAAAGCTCATTTGGACAGAGTGGGAAAGTAAAAATACATATTCCAGGTTTGTAAATTTAGATTATCAACACATTTCGTTATGTAAAGTAAAGTTGCCTTGCCACACCCTTGCAAATACTTGACCTCAGCACCAGAAGGTTGATGGTCAGCGTAAAGCCTTGGCTTTACTTAAATGCAGGGAAGGGACCACCAGTACTCATTGAATAGAGACTGGGTGGGCTCCAGACTTGGTCTTCGTGCAGGGGCTAGAGGAAAAATCCTTTGCCCCTATCACGGACCAAACCCTGGATGTCGAGTCCATAGTCAGTCAGAAAACTGGCTGAGCTGTGCCACCTCCATTTCAATATGTGTATCACGTAATTATTTGGACTGTAGTATTTTTAAAGTAAAATAGCAGGATTCTGCCCCCTTTTGCATGCATTTGCCACACTGTATCCACCATTACCATATCATCCAGGCTTCCCTCGTATTCAAAAGTGAACCCTTTTCTTTCATAGAAATTAAATCAGCCAAGGTTTAGATGTTGATTGACAAAAAATTTATCAGAATTCATAGGCCACTAGTTCATCAATGACCAAGGATTGGTTCAGGAGTTCGGACATACAATACGACTACAATGTCTTGTTCATATTCATAATAATAATTCAGATTTGGCTATTAATCATTTAACGCTCGGCAGTAAGTGTTTACCACGAGCTTTAACTGTTTTTTGTACTGATGGGATTCAGCCATCTACATTTGTACTTGGTTGCATGGAATAACCTTGTAACAATCTTGACAGGCTTTTGAACAACGCACACTATCCAGGTTTGTGTGTGAAAAATGTCAAAATACAAGTCTTTAGAATTTGTGTGCTGAAATATTTATTATTACATTTATGTTTTATCTGACCTCTTATAGTCGTCTTCAAGGGTATGATAAACATGAAAAACTTCTAACCTGAAGCACATTAAATATTCATTATCTTAGAATTTAGAAAGATAACTTCCATCATTGCTGGGGGTTCGTCGTGCTGACCACACGTCACCCTATATCTGGTTGGATGATCGTTCACCTCTGCTTAGGCATGTGAACGTGAGGTCAGCTAGTCGGCTTTGGCTCTCTGGAGCTGTTACGCCGCGGATTTAATTTAACTTCCATCATTTGTTGCTCTTACAATAATACGCTGATTGGAATGACAATATAAACTTTATTTGTAACTTCAGCATCCCAGTGTGAGCCGCTTCATATATTCAGTTTTTAAAACAATAAAGTTAAGTTATTCTTGGCTATATTGTGTTATCATGTTATGTTCATATTGCAGTTTGGGTTGTTTATTGTCCTGTCCATCTGCTCTACATTAGCCTCCCTTGTACTTGAAATATTACTTTTATTAGATTTTGTATCTTCTGTATCTATGTTCTGTTCACTCTCTATGGGTCTCTTTACAACTACTTTACCAATTTTTTGAATGAAAATTGCAAATAACTGTATTTTGACATTTTTTCAATATAATATACAAGGTATCACTACCATTTTGCTTTATCTAATTTGTCACAGGCCTTCAAAAAAAACTGACATATTATCATTCTCAATTATTTACTTCTTCGGATTTTTATAATTTTCAGATGGACTCAAAGAATCAACTTCTGTACTTTTACCTAGCATGACCAAGAAGAAAGGCAAGCATTCTGATCCTCAGAACACTTTACCGGATCCTGAACCCATAAAAATAGTGTTACACTTCAGAAGATATATTTATGACCCAAAGAAGGAAATTATCCAACCATAGCAATCGCGACTGAAAGGCAATAACCTGCCGTCTTCTCAAAGTTTTGCTTCGGATCACCTGGGTGATTGTTGTTGCACGCCTCTGCCAGATGCCACTGATTTTGAAAATGGCTACCCCACAACAGAGGAGTTACTGTGTTCTGCAGTTAGCGAAGGAAGAGTCTGTGCAGTGTGCATTTCCAACACAATTTCGCACGGAACCACCTACCTGAATATCCATTTATGCTTGGTACAAGAAATCTGAGCAGAAAGAGTGCACTTGCCAATGATGTCGTGCAGTGCAGATAGCCAGACCTAACTCCGTGTGACTTCTTGTGGGGGCTACATGAAAGACAGAGTGTCTGTTGTGCCTCTGCCGCAGTCTCTGCCAGAGTTGAGGAAGTGAATCACAACTGCCATAGCTTCCATCATTAGGGACACCACATTTGTATTCTGTATCATTCTGAAAGTGTAAAGTTCTTTTGTGCTCACTCGGTATTGACAGTAATACAATAAACAATTATCATGGTTAAGAAATTCCCTACGCTGTACAGAACCCGAAGTTTTATTACCACATTCACAAGATCCTGCCACTGTATGCTATGCTAAGTCTGATCTTGAAAAGTCCACTTAATATTATCCTCTGATCTATACGTACGTCTCCAGATTGGTTTCTTCCCTTCATGTTTCCAGACTAAAATTCTGTACACATTGCTCATCATTGCATTCATGTCCCAGAATTTCATTCTTCTAGACCAGTGGTATTCAACCTTTTTTGTTCGTGTACCCCCAGATATAATTTCTCTTCAACTTTGTACCCCCAAAGTTGTTGGCGTATAATTCAAGTTATACATAGTATATAATCTACATCTAAAATAAATTAAATAAATTACATTACTGATTATTCAGTGTTTATCGTAAAATAATATATATTTTTTTTAAATTTCACGTACCGCAGGTTTGAATACCACTGTTCTAGATCACCCTAGTAACTGGGTAGATGAACACAATAACTTAAAAACAACTGGACTAGGTCTCACTTCTTCAAAGATTGGAAACACTATTGTGTTACGACATGTAGAATACCAAATAATAAAATCTCATCTGTTAACTCAAGTAATTACTCAGCTTGTCAAAGCAATAGAAAGAATAGATTTTAATTTGATCTGGACAACAGTTTTTAATCATGTTAATATTAACATAAAATTTAATGAAGATTGTACATGTATTTTCTTGTTGTATCTTGTACAGGAAATCTGGTATTCTGCGTTTATTAAAGATTTTTATGTAAGTTGTAAATGAATTGAATTTTATTTTCATACACTAATTGAATGCCATAAACTGTAAATGCTTACAACAACCAAGGGAACATTTTATCATCACTGAAAAACTGTACACCATGGACACCATGATGTACAGATTCAGTAACAAACAATACATACCTTGCACGTTCAGAATTCCAGATCAATCTGCACAGAACTTCTCATTTGAAGGAGCTGGTATTTCCTGAATGAAGAATATTGAAAATTTTAAGCACAGCACAACATTCCATCTCTTAGTGATAATGCTATCAAGTACACAATTGTTTACATATCATCAGTTCACCACTTACCTGGGCCCATTCCCCTTGCCGACCGTGAGACTTTTTACGTCTATGCATCACGTTGCGGTAATTATGAAGACCCGCATAAAAACTGCCACATGAATTGCTGATGGTCTTAAAAACAAAGGCATCACAAGCTGCTGCTATAGCAACTGTCATCCTTTGATGAAGAACATGCCATGAAATAGAATCACCAACACATCTCGCCTTATTATGTAAAAAGTTTGCTCTAGATCATATGAAGGCAAATAAAACGTTAGAAAATGTAGCCACGTTCAAGCACTTGAGCATTGCAGTAACAAATCTTGTTTTACGTGGATGCAAGACTTGGTGGCTCACATGGTTATGAATCACCATAAATGGATTAGTAATTTTGAGGTAAAAAG